AACCCTAAACACCCCTACGAACCCAAAAGGAACCCCTTTTGGCAGCCCTGAGGCGCCAGCTTGGTGGCCGGAGGCTCCCACCTGCCATTCTTCATCCGCGTGTCCCCGAGGATGTACCTGGAATCACAAGGGGGTGACAAGGGTTTGGGGTTTAGGGTTTAGGGTTTGGGGTTGAAGAGTTTGGGGTTTGAGAGGTTAGGGTTTAGGGCTTGGGGTGTAGGGTTTGGCGTGTAGGGCTTAAGGTTTCGGGCGCTTAGAGATTAGGCAGATTGGGCGGCAGGGTCTTTGACGATTACGTCTAGGGAGCCCTAAGCTCCACAAACTCCATAAACCCTAGAAACCCTAGAAGCCCTATGAACCCTGCAGACCCTAAACCCTACATTGGGCCTGAGGGTTTTGCTTCGGACCTGTATTATACAAGCTGCCCGGACCCATACAACTCAACACGGGGCTTGTAAGAAAGCAGCCCCGCTGGAGCTCTCTTGGGGTTGATGGCGCTTCTGGATTTCGTTTCAAGGGCATTCTTTCGCATGCGTGGCCTTACAAGGTAGAAGGGGCGTAAGGGTGCCCAGGAGTTGGGGACTCTAGGGGATTCTAGCACTCGCAGATCTTCTCGATGCTGTTTCTCAAAAAAATCATCATCCAATTTTAAGCTGGCATCCCAAGCACCCTGTGGTGCATTCGGCTTTCGGTCCTGGGTATGTATTGGAGGTTTCCGAAAGTAGGGGTGCTCTCTTGGGGTCCTTGTTAAAAGGGCATCCTGCTATTTGGGGGTTTATAGTAGGGGTCCCAAATTTCCGCAAAACTCCCAAATAGGAGGAGCCTGGGACCCCCATTTCTGTCCTTTGGATAGTTGCTGCGGACCCGAAACCCGGAACCCAAAGCAGCATAAGAGCTAGGGTTTCGAGCTCATGCTTTCGGGGTTTGATCCAGTCCAAATCCAAACATGTCATCTGGGGGCCTGGCTACCTCAAACCCACAGGCCTATTCATATAACCACTCATGAACATGCAGTATGTTGTTTTGTATGCTCAACACCTTACACAGCAACTCTGAAAGGTTTAGGCGGCACAAAATTTATTAAGTCACCCGCATCGCTTAAGAGCTGGCAAAAAGTTTAACTTTTTAAGTATGTAGGACTCTATATAACCAATAAAGTTATATAAAGGTTACCAGCCCGGTCCCTAAGATTCCCCCAACCCTGAAACCCCAAAAACCCTAAACTTGCGGTGGGTCACCAATCCCGACCGGTGCCGTCGGAGAGGTGCATCGGGGGCCGACCCCAACCTAGGCACCGAGGTTTCTTCTATAGAGAGAGAGAGAGGGAGAGAGAGAAAGCGAGAAAGCGAGAGAGAGAGAGAGAGAAAAAAAAGGGAGGGGAGGCGGAGAGGGCATAGGAGAGATAGGGGAGACAGGGGAGAGAAGGGAGAAAGGGACGTACGCTTTATCGGATTGCGAGGATCTCGATTCTTGGGCGGGTATCGGCTCCTCAGGAGAAGTCTTTCTTGGATGTATAGGCACCACACCCCAAACCTTAGACCCTTAAGTTCAGCGTTTTAGGGTTCAACCCCCTTCAGTCCTACAACCCCCTTTGAAAAGGTGCGTGCAGGGCTGGAAAAGTTGGAAAACTGCTCTTGACCGGTTCGCTGGGGGTGGAAGGGTGCGACCCGTGTTGGGATGAAAGGATCCCTGAGCCTGTTTACGGAGCTCTTCCTGAGCCTTAGTTGGGTCTGATTAGGGTTTAGGGTTTAGGGTTTAGGGTTTAGGGTTTAGGGTTTAGGGTTTAGGGTTTAGGGTTTAGGGTTTAGGGTTTTCTGGAGATATAGAGTGGAACCAGCTTCTGCTCACTCAGCTCCGTCAGAGCACCGCCCCCCGCCGTGCTTCGAAGAAACCCCTATGACTTCCGGCTCAGCTGTGGGCTTGGAGTCTCTGAGCCCGAAGCTGCATTGCGATGTGGCTCGGACCGACATGGCTCCTTAAACGGCTGCTTCACCAGATTTCTACGTCTTCTGTGATGGAACATGCTGCACAACCATGCCAAGTGGGCAATCTCCGCCCTATGCCCGCGGTTGTGGGGATAGCTTCCTACACCTAGCATCGCAACTCGGCCATACTCGGCTGCTTGAAGTGTAAAGATAAACTGCGCTTGTCGCAGATTGCCGTCTCTTGAGGAAGTACTGCGTGGCATGGTCTCTTGTCATGAAGGAACAACTTCCTGCGTTTGAGCCAGCACGAAGCAATAAGCCACCAGGACCTTATGTGTCTCCATGGGAAAGCTGCCAAGGATTTCCGGCAGGGTAGCTGTTCTAGTCACAGGACAAATCGCCATGTCCCTTGAGGTCACAAAGGCACTGAAAGCCAGGAACAACCCCAGACCAGTGACCCCCAGACCAGTGCCAGGCAACTTGTCGTTCTGTTCAACCCTGCAGGCCGCGCCAACAGGAAACGTGCAACTGGTCGTGCTGCCGTGGAAACTGAAGGAACATCACAGTCTGTCTCTGACTTACCCTCCACAGCGCTAGATTCATACGCAACACTGTTCAGGTTTGTGGTTTTGGCTTTAGAGGATTCAGTTTCCAGTCCTCACTGCGAGATTGCTCAACCCTTGCACTTCCAGACTATGAAGCCATGGTACCCCCCATGGGTACCCCTAAACCCTTAACCCCAAACCTTTTCTTCCCACGTCCGCAGCCACAAAGCCTAAAGCAAGCGAGCTTCTTGGGGGAATAAGCTCAAGCCTACGGAGTGCAAAGAAGAAAAAACAGGCCACAGTAGCGCATTATGAGAATTATGAGTCCGGGTTCACGGTTCAGGGTTCAGGGTTTACGGATTTAGGGTTTAGGGATTTAGGGTTCAGGGTTTAGGGTTTAGGGTTTAGGGATTTAGGCTTCAGGGTTCAGGGTTTAGGGTTTAGGGGGACTTGTAGGGGTGTAGGGTAAAGGAGATCCCATGAGACGGGCTCCTGCCCCTGACCTGGCTAGTCACTGAAGCGGAAAGGCGGCCTCCAGGGCTGCGGAGCTGTGAAGCCTAAACCCTAAACTAGACTCAACCCTAAACCCTAATTACACCCTACACCCTAAACCCTAAGCCCTAACCCCTAACCCCTAAACTAAACCCTAAACACCCAGGCGCTTCGGCTGTCAGGCTTTGTGTAGTTTCCGAAAGGTCCACTGCCTGACTGTCGATAACCACGCGCGGCTTCCGACCCACAACTTCGCTCCGCTACGCGCCAAGCTACTTGCCACTCGGCCATTTGGCTAGGGCTGGCGCTGGTTTCCTGTTGCGTGGTTACCAGCTTTTCTCGCCTCTTAATCTGGGCTGGCACCCAGCTGGATTCCTTTTCAGCCTTTTGACCTCGATTGGCACCCAGTTGAGATATGCTGGACAATTTGGTAACACAATATAATGCTCCCTCCTGGCACAGAGCTTTGAGGAGGAAACGCACCAGGGCCAGAACTACTTTGAGGACGTATCTGGACCAGGACCGTGTGACATATACATCCACGCAATCTCCACAGCCATGCACACCTGCAAAGACATCACTCGAACAGCCCGTTGGTGATTGCAGTGCCAAGCAATGGACAATGCTTCAGCAGTGACGTGGAAGTCCAACAAGCGAACGGCCCAAGATCCCAGCAAGAGATCGTATGCAGCACAAGCGGGCCAGCAATGGCAGGAGCAATGGCACCAGGATCCCTGGCGAGGAAGATTATCAGCAAGACGAACAGTCGGGGGGCAAAGGCCAGGGCAAAGCCAAAGGCAAAGACAAGCAGAAACATGGGGGCGACAATCCCCCCCGGGTGCGGTCCGCAACGGAAACCGCCGAGGACCAGAACCGAAACCGTGTAACCGGAGAAGAAGGACAACCGTAGCAACAACCAGCAGACGTGCAACAGAAACCAGGACCCCGCCGTAACGGGAAACCACCCACCCTAAACCCTAAACCCTAAACCCTAAACCTAAACCCTACACCCTAAACCAACCCAAAACCCTAAGCCCTAAGCCCTAAACTCTGCATCCCTCCCTCTCTCTCTCTCTCTCCCTCTCCCTCTCCCTCTCCCCCCCCCCCCCCCCCTCTCTCTCTCTCCCTCCTCTCTCCCTCTCCCTTCTCCCTTTCTCTCTCTTTCTCTCTCTCTCTCTCTCTCTCTCTCTCTCTCTCTCTCTCTCTCTCTCTCTCTCTCTCTCTCTAGCTTCACACTGATGTAAAGTCAGAGTGGGGGGATCTTCAGCTTCGCCCTGACATGAACACGGGATGTGACTGTGCTGGACCTTGCAATGAGGCGCTGGTGCCACGTCATCAAGCCCCAACGCTTGGGTGCAGAGGCTTCAGGTTTTAGGGAACTGTTGAGCTGTGATGATGACAATGCAACCTACACGTGTAGAGGCCAGTTTGGGTGAGTGCCAGTTGAACCAAAATGGCGTTCAAGATACAGCTGCACTAAGTGACTAGTATCTACTTGTTTGGATACAAGAGAGCCACAAGACGTTTTCGGATGCTGAGCTCTCAGAAGAGGTCAACGCTTCTAGCCACAGATCGGCTGTACACACTCAGCGGCTACAGTCAGAATCAAGAACCTCTGCTCCACGAACTACCACGAAAGCCGGCTGGTCCTCTTTGCTCAACCGCTCAGCAGCGTAAATATCGGCCTTGGCGTACAGCGCCTTGCCCTGAGTGGTCTTGCCACCCACCGCGCAGAAGCCCTCTAAGCCCAACTCCTTTCTACAGTCGCTGTCATGCGGGCATCGGGCCAACGCTGGGCAAACTGCCTTGAACGGCCTCTTGCCTTGGGCATGCTGCTTCTTGCTCACCAAAGTTGCCGTTCCTTGTTCTTCATCAAGTCACCCTTCCGGAGGTGCCTTTCACCAAAGAGCAGCATGGTCCTCATGTAGTACCACGGACAAGGCCTGGAAGAAGAGTAACGAAGAGCAGAGATCTCACCCGGATTAAGACCTACATAGTCGCAACCAAGTCCACCCCAAGTCTGCCAACTTCCGTGCCATCAGCCGGGCTCAGCGCCAGGGATCCCCAGAATCCTGGCCAAGTCCAGCTCGGCACCAGACTCCAGGAGCATCTCAGCGATCTCAACGGCGCCCTCGTCCGTGAGGTCCCGGCCTGCACCCGCCTGAAGTAGCTGGATCGCTACCCTGCGATGCCTTCGATCAGCTGCATAATGGAGAGCCTGTCCTGGGCTCATTTAAGCTTCGTTTAAGTCGAAATAGTAGGGAAAGCCTTTCCTTCGATACTCCTGCCCATTACAAAACTTAGATCCCCAAACCCTGAACCCTAAACCCTGAACCCTGAACCCTGAACCCTGAACCCTAAACCCTAAACCCTAAACCCTAAACCCTAAACCCTAAACCCTAAACCCTAAACCCTAAACCTGAACCCCAAACCCCAAACCCCTTCAGTGGAATAGATACCTTCATATCATAATAACGTCCTCATATCAGCTTAAGGTTTCATTTGGTGGTTTTGGAGTCTCTGGGCTAACGAGAGTCTGCCACCACCATCTGGCAAGCAAGGGTTGGCCAGCGCCTGAAATGGCAGGTTTTAGGGTTTAGGGTTTGGGGTTTGGGGTTTGGGGTTTAGGGTTTAGGGTTTAGGGTTTAGGGTTTAGGGTTTAGGCCTCAGGGTTGAGGGCTGCGGGCTTGAGGCTTAGGGTTGAGGGTTGTGAACCCTAGAAACTAGCTACAAGCCCCCTTGGCCCAAAAAAACACATCAATTTGCGGACTAACAGAAAAAGGAAAATAATTCCTCACCCCTAAACCCTAAACCCTAAACCCTAAACCCCCAAGTGGTGCCTCTAAGAGTAGACAGGCGATGCCTTCATGGCCGCGATAGGCGGCCCACTGAAGCGCGGAGCCGCCTTCCTCAAGGCAGCTTCGTTGGGTTTAGGGTTTAGGGTTTAGGGTTTTGGGCTTAGGGTTTAGGGTTTAGGGTTTAGGGTTTAGGGCCCCATGTTGGGTTTAGGGTTTAGGGCTTAGGGGTTAGGGGTCTAGGGTGTAGGGCCCCATGTTGGGCTTTGGGTTTAGGGTTCAGGGTTTAGGATTTCGGGCCCCATGTTGGGTTTAGGGTTTAGGGCTTAGGGGTTAGGGGTCTAGGGTTTAGGGCCCCATTGGGCTTAGGGTTTAGGGTTTGGGGTTTAGGATTGGTTTAGGGTTTAGGGCCTCGTCGGGTCTTGTAGGGCATGATTGGGCTTTAGGATTTTATTGGGTCTAATCACTGGTTTAGTGGGGCTTCGACGGGGTTCTTTTGGGCTCTTGCTGAAAACCTTAAGTTACTGTAATCGGGATGTATGGTGAATAACATGTTCCTTGTATCTTTGTTTGCGAATTTAGATTACAGGAAATGCCAGTCCTTGTCGGTTAAATCGCGCTGAGCCCCAGCGGCTAAGAGCAACCGCGTCGTGTTGAAATAGCCTTGCCGAGACGACATAATCAGACTTGTCGATCCAGCGTTGTCGGCCTGGTCTTTGTCCGCCCGTGCAAGCAGCAGATACTGCGCAACTTGCATGTGGCCCTTGAAACATGCAAGGTGGAGAGCTGTCGTGCTCTGCTTATCAACGACATTGACGTTGGCCCGTGCTCGTAACAGCATGCAGAGAGTCTCCTGATCGCCAAGCATGGATGCCCAATGGAGAGCTGTCCTGCCCAGATTGTCTGCGGCGTCTTGGTCGGACTTTGCCTCAAAAAGCAGTCGAACGGTCCTGGAGTAGCCGGAGCAAGCTGCCTCTAGAAACGCAGTCTTGCCCTCATTATCAACAGCATGCAGGTCCATTCCTGCGTGCAGCAGCAACTTTGCAACTTCTGTGTGGCCGTAGTGAGCAGCCCAGTGCAGAGCCGTTGTGCCATAGCTGTCAGGAATCGGGTTCTCGCCACCGAGCAACAACAAGCTGACGACCTCCTGGTACCCTTCCTTAGTTGTCCAGTAACCTGGGGGAATTAAAGGTTAACCTTTGGGACTTGATAGGGATTAGAATACCCCCAAAAAGGTTAAAGGCTACCTGCTCTACTACTAAGCATCGGCAGTTGCGAAGTGAAGGGCCGTGGCGCCCACCCAATCAGCAAGGTTCCTGTCAGCCCGCGCCTCCAGCAGGAGATGTACCGTCCTCGATGCTTTAAGGCGCCCTTGGGAAAAGGATCCTGGTTCTTTAGTCTTAGGGATTATCATAAGCACTAACTGTAAAGATTGCTTCCCTCTACCCCTAAGTCCTGGAGAAGCCACTGGCCGAAGCCACGATCAACGCGGTGTCGCCGAGTTCGTCGGCGACATCCACGCTCGCAGCGGCCGAAAGCAACACACCCACCATCTCCTCATCCCCAGACTTCGCAGCATCGTGAAGAGGCGTTTGGCCGACAACATCAGGCAGGCTGGCTGCTGCCCGGGCTTGTAGAAGGAACTGTGCGATTTCAACGTGGCCCTCAGAACATGCATGATGCAAAGCTGCCCCCGGACACGCCTCCTCTGCTTCCGGCACGCAATTGATCTCGGCTCGGGCAGTCAGCAAGAGCCTCACGACCTCTAGGTGCCCTTGGCCCGCCGCTTGTCCGAGGGGCTGGCAGCCATCAACGTCTGTTGCCCTCACGTCTGCCCGAGCTTCCAAGAGCAAACGCGCCGTATCCAAGAAGCCATCCTCACATGCCCATATCAGCGCCGTTGCACCGTCCTCGTCAGGAATGTTCACATTGGCCCGGGCCTCCAAGAGAAGGGAAGTGACCTCCACGTTTCCCCACAGGCCGGCTGCCAATGAGAGTGGAGTCTGCTCACCTGGCCTTGTCTGATGATTTGGGCCCAGGGGAAGCTGCAACCTAAACCCAAACTCGAAAAACCCCAAAACGCTAAACCCTAAACCCTAACCCCTAACCCCTGACCCCTGAACCCTAACCCCTAAACCCTAACCCTAAGCCTGCTCAATTGGCCTTGTCTGATGATCTGGGTCGAGGGGAAGCTGCAAGTAGCGCTCCACCTCGCTTACTTGCGACAGTCCTGAAGGACGAAAACCCTAAACCCTACACCAAAAATATTCTAAAAGCCCTAAAAACCCTAACAACCCTAAAACCCTAAAAACCCTAAAACCCCTAAAAGCCCTGAACCCTGAACCCTAAACCCTAAACGCTAAAAGTCCTGAAGCTAAACTTGCTAAACCCTAAATAAGAAATGGCCATGAGAAGTGCCGGGCAGACTGTGGGAACCTTAAACGGGGCGTGAGTCTTTAGGGTTCGTTTTGGGGGTTCAGGGTTTAGGGTTTAAGGTTTAGGGTTTAGGGTCTAGGGTTTAGGGTTTAGGGTTTAGGGTTTAGGGTTTAGGGTTTAGGGTTTAGGGTTCTTTTGGCCCCCAAGGGTCGTATGGCGTTGGCGAAGTCCAGCGTTTCCTGCTCGGAGGGGCTGAAACAGTTCAATGCAACAAGCTGCACCTTCGTTGCTGAGTTCATATAAGCCCCTCAAAAATAAGGTACACTGTCAGTTCCTTTTGGGGATTAGAGTATCCCAAGAAGTGTAAAGTGTACTCTTTCAGCTACAAAGGCACTTCAGTGAAAGACTCGAGCTTGGCATCATCCTGCCGGGGGGTTGACATTTCATTTGGGCTCAGGGTTGAGGGTTTATGGGATAGGGTTTGGGGTTTGGGGTTTTAGGGTTTAGGGTTTAGGGTTTAGGGGTTGGGGTTAGGGTTTAGGGTTTAGGGTTTAGGGTTTAGGGTTTAGGGTTTAGGGTTTAGGGGTTAGGGGTTAGGGGTTAGGGGTTGGGGTTTAGGGGGCCTTACTAGAATAGGGAAGAGGGGGAATTCGGGGATCCGAAGACGTGCTACTTCGAATCATCCCGACCCCTGAAGTGCAGGGGCTGCCCTATACCCTAAACCCTGAACCCTAACCCTAAACCCTAAACCCTAAACCCTAACCGTGAGTCTATGCGGGCTTTGTTCAACAATAAAAAAAAGGGTCTCAGGCTCACGGCCTACGTTTAAAGGCTTCGGAGCCCTTCTGGTGCTGAGTTAACGTCAAGGCCTCGAAGGCTTTAGGGTTTAGGGTTGAGGGGGTATTGAAGCAGGGCTCTGCGATCACCATACATCCTCGAGATTCACAGCCCGGGCGTTTGTAGGACTTGCAATTTACACACTTCTCTGGTGGTCTAAATATCTGAGGTAGGCTTTTGTAAACCAAGACCTTGCCAGCTCTGCCTCACCATACAGATGTCTGAACAGCTAGAACGAACATGTCCATATAGTCTCGAAGACAAGTGATACTGAAAGCATAAACAACCCAAGGCCCTATTCGATTTATGAAGGCCGCAGCGCACACCCAAAACCAACGACAGTTCCCGAAGACACACGACGAAAGTTAACGAGACGTGGGTTGCTGCCAGGTGCCTAGAGAAAAACACAAAATCGTGAAACGTCAGGATTTACAAGCTTAGGAGTTTGGGGGTCCAGGGTAGGGTTTTGGAATTTTGGATTTAGGATTCAGGGTTTTGTTCACAAGGTTTAGAGTGTGGGGTTTAGGGGGTCAAGGGGTGCGCGGTTGAGAGTGTGGATGTGAGCCGGAAAAAGCTCCCAAACATAAACTGTTCATGTAACATATCCCTAAAAGTGCTTCAGTTTCAATACCTTACACCTCGATCCTGAACCCTGAATCCTAAAATCTGAACCCCTCAGCCCTATAAACCCTTAAACCGTAAACCTTAAAACCCAAACCCTGCAACCCTAAGCCGTACCTAGAGTCTCCATTGTAGTTCCTTTTCTAGTCTACCTTATAGGCCCCAAAATACCACATGTGGCAATCAAAACAAGAAACTACAACTTAGACTACCTTTACCTACCAAACCTACATTTGTTTGTCCGGTTCCTGCTTAAAACCTACACAACAATAGGATTTGGTAACTTAAGGTATAGATTAACGCCCTGTGAACCCTAGAGCCCTTAAGCCTAAACCCTTGCAGATCCCCTATACGAACCCTCCAAGGATCCCTTAAAGGAAGCCCTATTACTAAACCCTAAAGCCTAAACCCTAAACCTTAAACCCTAAACCCTAAACCCTAAAACCTCAAACCTAAACCCTAAACCCCAAACCCTAAACCCCCAGGTCGGGGCCCGAAAAAGCAGTCCTTGAGCTCGGTTCCCTGGTGCAAAACTCGTTGCCTGAACCTGGGGGAGGGAGGGGGGGAGGGGGGGAGGGTGGGGCTCATTTTTACTCCGACCTTTCCTCAAAGTCTCAATGAAGCTCGGGTTTGGGCTTTAGGGTTTAGGGCTTAGGGTCTTTTACTTTAGGGCTTTAAGGTCTTAGGGTTCGGAGGTAAGGGTTTTCGGGCTCAGCAGAGAAACCTAAACCAGGGTTGAAAGGTTAGGGTCCCAATATAAGGGATCCTTAATCCCACCTACCTTCATCCTACCCTAAACCCTAAACCCTAAACCCTAAACACTAAACCCTAACCCCTAAACCCTAAACCCTAAACCCTAAACCCTAAGCCCTAAACCCTAAACCCTAAACCGTTAAAGCCCCCTGAGAACCTCGGTAGTCCGCACAAGCCTTGCAGGTGCCGCTTCAGCGCTTGAACGTCCTTGATCTCGGAGTATTCCTTGGTCATGACAAGCCCTAACCCCTAAGCCGAGACTTTAAATGAACACGGCCATTCTTGAATGCCGATCCTAACGAGGGGTCATAAAGAAATCTCTCTCTCTCTCTCTCTATTTATATATATATATAGATATATAGATGGATGTGTGTGTACATAGGTATACAAATAAGTAAATATATGCACATAGAGTTTGTCTTTAATTTGCTGACGATACTCTATATGTATATGTATGTAGATAGATAGGTAGATAGATGGATGGAACCCCATGCCCCTCCCTTCATCAATGACCCTCGAACCCTAAAGTCCAAGCACCGAAGCCTTTCAGCCCTAGACACGAAATCCGAATCCGAGACCCCAAAAGACCTGAAGACCTAAATCCTTAAACCCTGATAAACCCTAAACTAAACCCTTAAACCCATAAACCCATAAACCCTTAAACCCTTAAACCCTTAAACCCTAAAACCCTAAAACCCTGAAACCCTAAAACCCTAAAACCCTTAAACCCTAAAACCCTAAAACCCTCAAACCCTTAAACCCTTAAACCCTTAAGCCCTTAAGCCCTTAACCCCTTAAGCCCTTAAACCCTTAAGCCCTTAAACCCTTAAGCCCTTAAACCCGAAACCAACCAATCAAAGGCTGCAGACCTCATCCCTGCTCGGAGCGCCCAGCTTCGTCCAGAGGCAACGATGTCAACTCCCTGCCCGAAATCCAGCGCACCACGAGACTTCTTTCAGAAGTTTCCAAGGGGCGTTTCGGCATGGCTGCGTTCGGAGACTGGGCAGCCCAAAGCTGAAGGGGAGCTGAGCGAAACAAGGTTCCGGACGGAAAAAAAAAGCCTGAAGTTTGGATACGCAAGCACAAAACCCTCAATCCCTAAAGCCTAAACCTCAACCCTCAAACCCTATAAGCCCTAAGCCATACATTCGCAAGCCTTCGAGGTGGGCACGCTGCCGGCCGCCCTCTATCGTAATCATGGTACAAGCTATCACGGCTCAGAATAGCACCTGGGGAGGTCTTTGGTTAAGACTGAACTTAAACCCTAAACCCGAAACCCTGAAACCCAATCTCTACCTGGGAAAAAAGAGGAAGCCTTTTCTGGCCTTTCTTGCTCTCTTGTGTGTTCTTACCTGTATGTACTGTGGTATGACAAGACAATGTGTCATCATGTACTAGCAGCGATACTATTACAAGGCATGATGCGTCATGCGATTGCTGTATGATAGATAGTCATGACATTAGCTTCTTTGTCGAGACTCGAGCTACAGAGACACCTTCCTCTGTGACCACGGGACGTTGGGTGTGGACAGAGGAAAGGTGACTGCCAAACCAGATTCAGATGAGGGTTCTGGGTTGGCAGTCAGCGGTTTAGGGCTTACAAGGTTTAAGGTTGTTTAGGGTTTAGGGTTTAGGGCTTATAAGGTTTAAGGTTGTTTAGGGTTCAGGGGGGGTTGGGGGTTTAGGGTTGCTCAGGGTTCAGGGGGATTGGGGGCTTCGGGATGCTTAGGCTCTGCAAATCAGGTATTCGGAGTCGGAGGCATCGGGTTTGGGGTTCTAGGGGCTCGACAACTTCCAAAACCTTGGCAGCTGCTAGCCTGAGGTCGAGGGTCTCGTGTTTTAGGGTCAGGGTTTAGGGTTGAGCGTTTTGACATTTTAGGGTTTAAGGCTGTAGGTTGGGGTGCGGATGGGTGTGCGACGAGGGTTTGAATTTGGCTACCCCGAAACCCCCCTTTGGCCTTGGGCTGCGGTTTTGTGCTGGGAAGATGGCTGCAGCGCGCCGGCTACATCGGTAGTCGTTTTGGGCGTTGCGTTTCGGAAGTTGCGGTGCCTCATTTTGAAAAGCGCCTGGCTCTCCAACTATAACGAATTACAGGAGCATGTGTTGAGAACCGGAGCAGGTTGAAGTTGAACCTCAACCCCCCTAACAGGCGGCCTGCTCCAGCGACTTCAATCGAACTTGCACTTGGTCGTGCTCCACCTGCACGCCGAAGCATGGAACCGGAGGAGACCACTTATGTCCACAAAAAAGCAAGCGAGCGGAGACCCGGTTCACAGCGCTCAGAGAAGCAAGCAGGATGGAAAGCACAACTCGACTCAGAGAGATAGAGGAAACACAATCACCCTCTTTCAGATATGAACAGCGAGCAGTCAAGCGATCAGAAGCAGCGAGCACAGAGACACAGCCAGCCGCCAGCCGCAGAGATGATTAGGGCAAGAGCCAATGCGTGAGCAAGCTGTCCTTCTGGGTTAAACCCTAAAGCCGATTTTTTAAACCCTAAACCCTAAACGCTAAACCGTAAACCCTAAAGCGAAACCCTAAACCGTTGGCTGTGCGATTTGATGGCTGTAAATTCCCAAAGAGAGACGCCCTGGATCTTGCGTTGGGTGCCACTTGCTATCCTCTTGAGGTCCTTAGGCGCCGGTAGGCAACCCAATGTTTCCCCAAGACTCCCGAGCTAAGCCTCCTGAAGATGCCTGGGTGCTAAACCCTAAACCCTAAACCCTAAACCCTAAACCCTAAACCGCCTAAACCCTAAACCCTAAACCCTAAACCAAACCCTAAGCCCCAAGCCCCAAGCCCTAAGCCCTAAACCCTTGACCCCTTAGCTGCACCTCAAGCTCTAAACCCAAAACCGTCGCCGCAAGACTGTGACAAACAAGCTTCGGTGGGCAATCTGGGGATATACAGGGATTTGGACCCGAGAAACTACAAATCGACTACCCTAAACCCTAAACCCTAGTACTTCATCCCCAATAAACCCTAAACCCTAAACTCCAGAAGCAACACTTTGTCCCTAACACTACAAGCCCCAAGCAACCCAAGCCATCACCGGATGACAAGACACCGATTACACACTAAAACTGTAGCCCCTCCATTACCCAGCTGAGCCTGCGTTTTGGGGTCAATGTCATGGATGATGATACACGATGATGAATTAGGAGCATGTTAACCACAAGGCTGTGCGATGCTGGAGATACCCAGGACCCAAAACACCCACTAATGTCAAAGTCAGTGGCGCCACCTTCCTCTGTGCTTCTCAAAGGCACCCTTATAAACCCCAAACCTGATTTAAGGGCTTAGGAGCTCTTCTCAGACCTTAGAGAGTCCGAGCCCGTGGCTGCGCTGTGGTGCTGCTCGGACAAGCATGGCGCCTTAAGGCCCCTTCACAAGTTCCACGTCCGACGTCTTCCGTGATGGAACGTGAAGTGGGAGAGCTCTGCCCTATGTTGAGGTTGTGGGGGATAGCTTGATTCATACCTCAGCTCTGAGGAGTGTAAAGATCAGTGGTGTTTGTCGCAGATTGCCGTTTTCTGATGAGGCACTGCGTTGCACGACCGCCCGTCATGAAGAAACACCTTCCTAGGCCACCTTTTGAGCCTGCGCGAGGCCATAAGCCACCACGTCCATATGTGTCTCCAGGGGAAAAACACCAAGGATTTCCGTCAGGATAGTTGCACTGTTCAGGGGGACATCGCCATGTGCCTGCAATAAGCCACTACGTCCTGATATGTCTCCACGTGGCAACCGGCAAGCACTATAGCTGTTGCAATGGAATCTGAACGAACACCGTTGTCTGTGTCACATACCTTCGAAATCTGTCAAATTCATATGCGGCACTGTTTAGGATTTGGGCTTTTGGGCTCCAAGGAGGGCTCAGGTGCTGCTACTCCTAAATGCCAAGTTTTCCACTCACTCCCAGCGCTTCAGGCCATGAGGCCATGGCACCGTATGGCACCCATATGCCCCTCTGGTACTCCACTCTAAGCCACAAAAAACCCCTCTCAGCCGCAACCCTACAGACCACTGGCAAGCGGAGCCTTTTTGCAAGCAAAGCAAGCGGGGCTCTTGGGGGAACAGGTTCAGCCCACGAGCAGCGCTTGGGGTGTGATAGGGTGCGATATCCAAGTTGAGGGTTGTAAGGTTCCAGGGAAGTAGTTACACGGTCCCTTGATATGCGCCCTTAAACTGGGAACGCTTACATACCCCTTGTATACCCTACAAAACAACATAAAACAACACGACCCATACTTCAGAACCCATATAAAGAAGGTAAGGGAAAGGGACCATGTTGAAGGGACCATGAAACTTCCCTTAGGGTTAAAGAGAAGAATCTCCCCCACGGAGATTTTTAGGAAACCGGCTCCTGCCCTCGGGCTAGTCACTGAAGCGAAAGGCGGCCTTCCAGTGCTGGAGAGCTGTGAACGTTATAAGCCAAAAAGGCCCTAAACCCTACTAACAGTCCTCAAGAGGGATTACAATCGGGGGTACTATATCATCCCTTTTAAAGGATTGTTAGTATTAGGGGGAACATCCCAACTCTAATCCCAGTAAGGTTGAGGGTGCAGGGTTTGCAGGGCTTACACGGCAATACGAGAAACAGCCCTGGCACTAAGCCTTGGAGCCTTTTGGGAGCCTTTGGGACCTCATCTCAAGGGGAGGGGGCCTGTGGAAGGTGGCGTGGCCGTAGCTTGGCAGACCCAGGGGGGGAACCCGGGTAACCCTCAATGAGGTTCCAAGAAACCAGGTTGAGGCTGTAATGCTTGAGGAGCCTAAGCCCTTGAAAACCCTCAAACCTCAAAACTCAAAACCCAAAGCCCTTGAACGCCTAACCCCCTAGAGCAAACCCAAAAACCCTATAAACCCCTAAACCCCTAAACCCAAACCCCAAAACCCTTTAAAATGACCCAGGGCGCCACCGGGTGGTCCTCCGTGGCCCTAAGATTCCCCCAAGTGGCATTTCAAGCCTTGCATATGTCAGCCGATCCTCGCGAACCACAGACATTGCGCATTGTGTGTGTGCGCATATATGGGGAGTTCGACTAAACCTCCGGCCAAACCCTGCAAACCCTCAAGCCCAAGAAGGAGACAATTCAGGCCCAAAACCCTAGAAGAACTTCCCCCCCAACCACCCTAACCTTGAAGTGCTCTCAGTTCTGTATGTAGGTCCTTCACTGGAAGTCTTTCGACTCACCACTCCTAGCTTTCGCGAGAGTTCGTAGGGCTGCAAAATGGGATCTTCCCATCCTAACTTGCTCTTCTGGGAGTGTGGAGCTGAGGATTATTATGAATGTCTATTTCTCTATACGAATATGATATACTGCTTTTCATATTGTATCAACCTTAAACCCTAAACCCTGAACCCTCAAACCCCAAACCCTAAACCCTAAACCTGCACCCTGGCCTACCAATGCTATATGAAATGCTGATTTTCATCTTCTACAGACCCTAAACCCTAAACCCTAAACCCTGAACCCTAAACCCTGAACCCTAAACCCTAAACCCTGAACCCTTAAACCCTAAACCCTGAACCCTTAAACCCTAAACCCTGAACCCTTAAACCCTTAACCCTGAAGCCCTCAAACCCTAAACCCTTAAGCCCTCAAACCCTAAACCCTGAAGCCCTCAAACCCTAAACCCTTAAAGCCCTCAAACCCTAAACCCTTAAAGCCCTAAACCCTTAACCCTGAAGCCCTCAAACCCTAAACCCTTAAAGCCCTAAACCCTGAACCCTTAAACCCTTAAACCCTTAAGCCCTTAACCCTGAACCCTTAAACCCCTGGGCTACCGAGGCAAGAGAACGTGCGCCGCCTGCTGCTCTTGCACCTCCAGGTTGCAGGCGCGCTCGCGGATCATGACCTGAGGGGCTTAGGGTTTTTAAGAGGTTTAGGGTTTAGGGTTTAGGGTTTAGGGTTTAGGGTTTAGGGTTTAGGGTTTAGGGTTTAGGGTTTAGGGTTTAGGGGACTTTGTAGGCTTTGTAAAGGGGGTTTAGGGGGGTTTTGGGGGTATAGGGTTTAGGGTCATGGAAAGGTGTTTGGTTTGTTGGGGCGGGTGAGGGCTTAGACCTAAGGGTTTATGGAGTGCAGTTTAGATTCAGGGTTCAGGGTTCAGGGTTCAGGGTTCAGGGTTTAGGGTTTAGGGTTTAGTGTTTAGGGTTTAGGGAGGTCTTTGCAGGTTTTGAGGCATTTGGGTGCAGGGGAGCTAGGACTTGGGGCCTTGGGTACGGGAGGGTTGCAAAACCCCAACAAAAGGAAATGAGCGCCGACTCTGGGTCCTAGGATCGGAAGGGCTCTTTCTGAATTACAATTAAATAAGAGTCGGAGGAAGATTTCGTTTTGAAGAAACATATTTGGATCGGAAGAACTCTTTCGAAAGGATAGCAAAAATTATGTTGAAGGGGATCTTTCTGAATTAGATTCGAATACAATTCGAAAGTATTCGTTTAAAATGACAATTAGAAAGATTCGGAATATGATGATTGTGAACTTTGAAAAATTTTGAAAATAATTTGCAAACAAAATCTTCAAACTGGTCTTTGAATAGATAGAATTTGATCTTCGGGTGATTTCTATTTTTGTGGTTTTGGGTGTTTTTCTAGATTTGTTGAAGCGTATCCTTCTACAGGTGCCCTAAACCCTGCCCCCAAAACCCCAAACCCGAGACCCAACAACAGGAACAAGGGCCTACTCTGGGTCCCAGTAGAGGGCTTGGGGTTGTGACTATACTCCCCCTAGAACCTTAATAGAAATACTATTTTAAATATCCTCTTGGGTTTATACAAACAAAAATAACAAATAATTCCCAAGGGGGATACAGGTAGAGGTAAGCTTGCACTCGTTCTGCCCTGGGGTCCCGCGCCGCATACTCCAGCGATGGGCTGAGTTGCAGAGCCTCCGGGGATTGGAGCTCGGTGTGTTACGCGTGTTTTAGGGTTTAGGGTTTAGGGTAAGTTTAGGGGTCCCCAAATCCTACAAACCCTAAACCCTGAACCCGAATTAAGGCTTATTTGAAACCACAATCATATAGAGGGTTCTAAGCCTCCATTTTACGCAGCACCCGTGTAAGCCCACACAAAGTGGTAGGCTATATCCCTTAAAGGCCCAATATTATCATCCCCTATTCTGCGGGGGGCCAGGGGCGGGGGGGGGGGTCTGTCGTGGGATTGTATGAAAGAACCGTGCCCTCAAGAACCCCCTGCGGAGCCGAAGTGCGCCAAAAATGGGATTTTGGGGTGTGGGGGCTGTAGAGGGTTGAGGGGCTTCAGGGCGCTTGGGGGTTTCGGTTCTGGGGTCTTACGAAATTAATTTAGGATCCAAGAAGCAACTCACGAGCTGGGTCCAAAGGGATTAAAGTGGAGGCGCGTCGGTTAGGTTGAGACCGCTGCACAGTCAGAGAGAGACACAAAGGAACCTTTGCATAACCTGGGGCCGTTGCTGTTTCATGTATATCCTTCTTTCGGTAGATACATGGTCCCCTCGAATTTCTTGAAATTGCCCCTTACCTGTTATAGTATGTACTCTTGGGTTTGGGTAGATCAGGTGTATATACGGGCTTCCCAAATAAGGGGCCATACTAGGGGCCCTTGCAAACGCAAGATTCTTACAGTATATGTTGTGTCTTAGGGAGACTATGGGGGGCTCCCTCAAGCCTCCAAGCCCTATATTCCAGAACCCTGCATAAGAGCCCTAAACTCTCCAAACTCCAAAACCCCTGGAGCATCCTCCTAGCGCCCAGACCCACCCCAAGCCCGGTGCCCAGAACCCAGAACCCTCCTCAATGTAGAGAGGGATTTGCAGGGCTTGGGATGTTTAAAACAGGAGCTAGGGGTCCTGAGGGTTACCCTAAACCCTAAACCCTAAACCCCAAACCCCAAACCCTAAACCCTAAACCCACAACCCACAACCCACAACCCTAAACCCTAAACCCTAAACCCTCAACCCTCAACCCTAAACCCACAACACCTACAACGACTTCAAACGAGGACTCCCCGACCTGGTCGCAGTCAGCGATCGCCTCATCCAGGTTCCCGATGCACATCTGAGCCTCAGGGCGCGAAGGCCGCGGGTTTAGGGTTTAGGGTTTAGGGTTTAGGGTTTAGGGTTTAGGGTTTAGGGTTTAGGGTTTAGGGTTTAGGGTTTAGGGTTTAGGGTCTAGGGTCTAGGGTTTAGACTCAGACAAACTGCCGCAAAGAACCCCCACAGCCCCAAACTCATAAAGTGCAAGCCTCTAGACGCTTGAGCCCTAGCTTGCCAACGGAGAGATAAGATGAGATGAGTCTATGTGTCGTACAGTAGGGCCCCTCAACCTCGAAACCCCAACCTTGAACCCCATAATCTTCAATCCCTAATCCCCGAAGCCCTGAAAAGCCCCTATAGCCCTAAACCCTCAAACCTACCCGAACCTCTGAACCCTCCAAAGCCCCTCAAACCCTAAACTCCCTAAACCCCAAACCCCAAAACCCAAACCCTACTAATCCCTAACCCCCCAACCCCTCCTGCTATGCATTCGGGAACCCAGCCAACACCTCAAAAACCACTCCGACGACCCCCCCAAATCCGTGAAAGATTTTCGATTTCTATGCAAATTACATCTAGGGTTCTACTCAATGAACCCAGAGGCCCTTAACTAAGTGATATGTTAGGACATAGGGAGGTTTACGAACATAGGGGGCCCCCAATATGGACCCCAAATCGTAGGATTCCCGTACAATAAGGACCGAATAAGGTACCCCCCCCAAGTTTCGGGAAGAAAGACATATAAAGGGGCCTTAATGGCTTTAGAATAGGGCTTTGGGGGAGTTATTATAGTACAAGTATATGGGGACCAAAAAGGAATACTATAGGGGTTGTAATGGTTATGATTATAGTACAAATACATGGGGACAGAACCCACCTTCCGGTCTTTGTGCGTTTCTCGGTCCGGGCCGCCCTAGTTTAAAAGGCATCCCTCCACATTCCCATCCCTCTAACCCTAACCCCTAAACCCTCTAACCCTAAACCCTATAGTGGCGACCTAGCACTTAGAATATTGGAAAACGGGCAGGGACCAGTTAGAATATTTGTGGCGCGGAGGGTAAACGGCCAGATTTTACCCTCGGGCCAAAACTAGCAGTTAGAATATTTGTTTTCCAGAAGCAGCAGTTAGAATATTATTATTCCAGAACTAGCAGTTAGAATATCTCTTGGCCAAAACTAGCAGTTAAAATATTTCTTGGCCAAAACTAAACGGGGTTTACGGCTTGGAGTCTTCTGGAACTCGAAACCGCAAGCTGCAAGCCATGCGAAATAGGGCTTTCGTTGCCTAATGCGTTGCGGTGCTACAAACCCTGATAGCCTAACACCCTGACCCCGAACTCCCTACCTTACCTCCCTAACCCTAAACCCTAAAACCCTAAACCCTAAACCCTCAACCCTAAACCCTGAACCCTGAACCCTGGACCCGAACTCCCCAAAAAGGGTATTCCCCAATTTGGAGAACAGGGCGCAGAGTTGCAGAGCCTTAGAGGGTCAAAGGCATAGACGCGTGTCAGGTCCGGCTGTGATTTCTCTCCAATCTCCACGATGTATATACTCCTAGGGTTTATAGGGTTTAGGGTTTAGGGTCATGGTTGAGCAGCTAAGCCTTAAGACAGAAATAAGGGTAGTACTGCGGGCCCTAGACTCTGGGAACCACGGTCCGGAGCTTTCACCGAAGGCCTCTTTCAGGCCTTCCTGGCCTTCACGGCTCCTTGCAGAACCAGCAGCTAGACTATTTCTGGGGGCAGGGGGTTGGGGCCTTCTCCAGGCCTCTTCAGGCCTTCCTGGCCTTCACGGCTCCGAAAACAGAATGAGCAGATAGGATATCTCTGGGGGCAGGGGGGTTGGGGCCGTCTCCAGGGCTCGTTCAGGCCTTCCTGGCCTTCACGGCTCCTAGCAGATAGAATATTTCTGGGGGCAGGGGGGTTGGGGCCTTCTTCAGGGCTCTTGCAGACCTTCCTGGCCTTCACGGCTCCTTGCAGAACCAGCAGATAGAATATAGCAGTCTCCCTACGTCAGTTTGAAATAGCACGATTAGTTTTAATTAGACCTTATAATGCACTTGCATTCTCAGGACCAATAGCAGTTTATACATCTGTCTTCCTAATTTATGCAGTTGGTCAATCTAGCTGGTTCTTTGCACCAAGCTTTGGCATTGCAGCTATCTTCCGATTCCTATTATTCCTTCAAGGTTTTCATAATTGGACATTAAATCCTTTTCACATGATGGGTGTAGCTGGAATATTGGGAGGTGCCCTACTATCAGCTATCCATGGTGCTACTGTCATTAACACTCTTTATCAAGATGCTCGTGCCTATACGACATTTCGTGCTTTCTCACCAAGTCAACCAGAAGAAACTTATTCAATGCTTACAGCTAATCGTTTTTGGTCTCAGATATTTGGTGTAGCCTTCTCAAACAAGAGATGGCTTCATTTCTTCATGCTATTTGTACCTCTAGGAGGTATGTGGACATCTTCAATTGGTATCATTGGATTAGCATTTAATTTAAGAGCTTATGATTTTATTTCTCAAGAATTGAAAGCAGCAGAAGATCCTGAATTTGAAACATTCTATACAAAGAACATTCTACTCAATGAAGGTATACGACTTTGGATGGCTGTCCAAGATCAAGCTCATGAAAATTATCAGTTTCCAGAAGAGGTATTGCCAAGAGGTAATTCGTTGTAAACTCCATTCTTTCAAGTGCTAAAGCAGGGGGGTTGGGGCCTTTTTTAGGGGTCTTTCAGGCCTTATTGGCCCCTTGAGAATCACAGGAATATTTTGCAGAACCCCAGCAGATGAAGATTTCTGGAGGCAGGGGGCTCTGGAGAAGGCTCTTTCAGGCCTTCCTGGCCTTCACGGCTCCTTGCAGAACCAGCAGATAGAATATTTCTGGGGGCAGCGGGGTTGGGGCCTTCTCCAGGGCTCTTTCAAGCCTCTCTGGCCTTCACGGCTCCTTGCAGAACCAGCAGATCGAATATTTCTGGGGGCAGGGGGGTTGGGGCCTTCTTCAGGGCTCTTTCAGGCCTTCACGGCTCCTTGCAGAACCAGCAGATAGATTTTTTCTGGGGGCAGGGGGGTTGGGGCCTTCCTGGCCTTCACGGCTCCTTGCAGAACCAGCAGCTAGGTTTTTTTTGGGGGCAGGGGGGTTGGGGCCTTCTCCTGGCCTTCACGGCTCCTTGCAGAAGCAGCAGATAGAATATTTCTGGGGGCAGGGGGGTTGGGGCCTTCTTCACGGAAGTGTATGCACACCACGGTCCAGCATATACTGGACCCGGTATATAAGTGTTATGTATATGTCTATATGCTTAAGCCACGGTCCGGAGCTTTCACCGAACCCGGAAGTGTATGCACACCACGGGCCAGCATGCACCGGACCCGGTATATTCGTGTTCTGTATATGAATATATCTAATTATGTATAAACCACGGTCCAGAGCGTTCATCGAACCCGGAAGTGTAGACACACCACGGTCCAGCATATACCGGACCTGGTATATATAAGTGCATATACCCCCCCCCCCCTGCCCCGTGTGGTGTGGGGTTTAGGGTTTTGGGTTTTGCGTATATATATATATACAGGGTTTAGGGTTCAGGTTTAGGATTTAGGGTTTCGATGATATAAAGAGAAAAAGGACTGCAATTTCTGAAAAAATATTCTAACTGCTAGTTTTGGCCAAGAAATATTCTAACTGCTAGTCCTGGAAAATATTCTAGCTGCTAGTTCTGGAAAAACAATATTCTAACTGCTAGTTTTGCGCGATGGTAAACTTTTTTTGAAAAAAATAAAAATGTACTGGGCGGAGGGTAAACGCCAAAAAAAAAATATTCTAACTGCTGGGTCGCCACTATAAACCCTAAACCCTAACCCCCCAACCCTAAACCCTAAGCCCTAGAGGCCCTAAACCCTGAACCCTAAATTGGGGAACCTCGGCGCGCACCGCCAAGGTGTATGGATCGCCAGGGTTCAGGATCAAGGCCTCGGCAGAGGGTAGGGTTTGGGGTTTGGGGTTTGGGGTTTGGGGTTTGGCGTTTAGGGTTTGGGGTTTGGGGTTTAGGGTTTAGGGTTTAGGGGTCTAGGGTCTAGGGTTTAGGGTTTAGGGTTTAGGGTTTAGGGTTTAGGGTTTAGGGGTTTGGGTTTGGGGTTTAGGGTTTAGGGTTTAGGGGTTTAGGGTTTGGGGTTTAGGGGTTTACGGGTTAGGGTTTGGGGTTTGGGGTTTGGGATTAGGGTTTAGGGTTTAGGGTTTGGGGTTTGGGGTTTAGGGTTCAGGGTTTAGCCTTACGGGTTTAAGGTTAGCGGCCTGGGAATAACAAAGGGGTACCTTTCAATTCTGCGTCACGTTTGCCTCATCTGATTTTGTCCCCTCAGGGTTCCAGCGACTGCTCCATTGCAGTAGTTGGCAGGGTGGCAGCTGCAACCCTACACTGCGAGTACCATTTGCTGAAGAACCCCCGTGTCAAAAAAAGAGAGAAAATAATCCATCTACTACCCTTATAAGGAAGAATGTAAAATATAGAGAGAAAATAATCCATCTACTACCCTTATAAGGAAGAATGTTATATATTTGTTTTTCTTTTTTTTTTTTGGGGGGGGGGGCCTTAAGCAAATGGTAGTAAACTAAGCCGTAATTCAGACCCTACCCACTTGGCGTCTGGGTCGGATGCTCGAAGCCCTGAACCCTAGAACAATTCTTGTAAACCCCGAAACCCTTATAGCCCGTGCTGTAGCTCAGGGTGTCCATCTCTAGAATGCCAGGGCTTTGAGGGTTGAGGGTTTAGGGTTACCCCCCTCCCCCCCCTCCCCCCTTCCGCCCCCTGTTCACTTTGGGCGACATCCAGTCGTCACGGTCTCCTTTCCTTTAGGGGAGGAAGCAACCTGCCTTCCGCCTGAGTCAACTCCAGAGGCCACATTTAATGCCTGATTAAGGTATATTTCCATCACATATTCTTGCTTCTTACCAAGTATATCACGAGCCCTTAAACTCCTCCAAAAGTCCTGATCTTCTGGGTTCCTCTTTTGGCAAATGCAGCACATAGGAGTTGAGAGGGCTTGGGATCCTTCATCACCACACACTTCCAGTCAGGGTTTAGGGTTTAGGGTTTAGGGTTTAGGGTTTAGGGTTTAGGGTTTAGGGTTTAGGGTTTAGGGCTATCTCCCAAGACGCTACAGTATATGTGTGCAGCTGCATTCGCCCCCTTTTCTCCGCTTCTTGCGCTCCTCTCGTTGAGGACTCGGGGAGGGCGGCCAGCCAGGCGCCCCAAGTCGGGTCACAGCGGAGCGTCCTTTGGGTGTTGGGGGGTTAGGGTTTATGGGTTTAGGGTTTAGGGTTTACGACTGTCATAGTCTACTAGCCCACAGATAGGGCACGCTCATTCAGGGACACACTGGCGTTGGGCACCCTGGGGTTGGGCGAGGAGTAGACCGGGCGCGGTGAAGTAGACCGGGCGAGGACAACCCCACACCGAGTGTGGGGAATAAAACATGTCCCCCAAAAACCAACCTAGTACCCTGCTTAAGACAAAACAAACAAGAGAAACAAAAACACCCCCCGAAACAAGATGCGGCGGTCCTGGCGTCACCCACCACGCAAAGGCCCCGGCGGGCCCGGGTCAGTAGGACCTTGGCTTGGGGATAGGGTCCATAGGGCTTAAAGGGTCGAGGACAAAGGGCTTCTGAGCTCCCAACCCCGAACACTAGGCCCTAAGTGGGGGGAGGGGCCCCTGGGATCCTAAAGCCACAAGAGGCTCCCGGCAAAAGCCACGGAACACTTCGGGCCCGCGGCATTCGCACGTCGAGGGTCGCTGAGGAACCCCAGGACCTTTGAAAGCTTCGGGGTCTAGGGGTTTAGGGTATTAAACGGTTTAGGGTTTGGGGTCTCAAATTAGGGCTTAAGAGCTTTCTGGAAGGTTCGAGGATTAGGGTTTGTAGGGTTCCTGTTTAGACGAGCGTAATACAGTAACTAAGGTCTGGAGGGTCTCAAACTGACGTTTCCTCTTTAGGGTTCTGCATTGCCATCAAATTAGGGCTTTGATTTGTGTTTCTAGGGTTTAGTTGGGGTTTAGCGTTTTAAGGCCTTTTTAGGGATTCGGTGGTAGGCTAGGGCTTAATCCAGGTTTGGGCGCTACAGGGTTTATACCGGGTTTGCGGAGCTTCTGGGTTACGAGGGTTTACACAGGGTGTCGCGGTAGGGCTGGTGAAGCCTGGAACTGCCAACCCACACAACGAAGCCAGCCCTGCTGAACCCCAGACTCTGACACATCCAAACACATCGCAAGTTCCTGCACATATTGCAGGGTTTAGGGATCCCTAAGGGTCCATGTACATTCTTCGTATTTACTTGGGCCCCCAAAGTTCATAGTTCGGAAAACCCCCCCCCCCAACAACCCCCCCCCCAGGCCCCCATCCTTACTGCGCACGACAGGCCTTTTGCTAATTAAAACGCGCAACGTCGACTGGGCCTTTGTTACCCCTGCGAATTGAAGACTATTCGCCAGCTAATAGCTGCTATTAGCGGCTTGTTGGCTTGGGGGGGGGGGTCGTGTAACCAGGACTGCGTTCGCTAATAGCTGGCGCATAGCAGTCAGCAGTGCTAATAGCTAGCTAATAGTGCGGAAGGGTCGTGTGGCTATTAGCTGCTATTAGCTGCCCAATAGCCAGCTAACAAAAACAGACTTTTGTGAAGCCTGGGAGGGGGGGTTCTTGGGGGGGGGGGGGGTTTTCCGAACTATGAAAAGTCCTTACACAGGGAAGTACTTTAAAAGGCCCAGGTATTCCCCTATTTACGAGAATGGCGAAAGTACCTCGGAACAGGGCGAAAGCTTCCTGGGGCGCAGACGAATCCTTGACGGAAGCAGAATAAGCAGACAAGTTGGGATGTCCCCCCAAATGCTAACAGTCCTTGATTGGGATGACAATAAGGGGGTTACAAGACCCTATTAAGGACTGCTAGTATAAAGGGGAACATCACAACAGATAGTACCAAACGGAAGTCAACGTTCAGCTCTGCAGACTCGTTTGCAAACCTCTTCACACAATCTCAACCCTCCCCCCAAACCCCTGCATCCCGAAAACCTTGAGCCGTAAATTAAACCCTACAAGCCATATAGACCCCATAAACCCTATCAAGCCCGCGTAGACCCTACATATCTCGTAAATCAAACCCTAGAAACCCTCTAGACCTTATAGACCCGATCAATCCCGATTAAACTTTAATCCATATAGACGCTAGCAACCCTATAAAGCCCGATTGAACTTACAAACCATTTAGACCCTATAAACCCGATAAACCCTATAAACCCTCTAAACCCTACAAACCCTATGTAAACCCTACAAACCCTGGAAACCCTGTAGACCCTGTAAAGCTCGGCTTATCCCGGTTTAGACCCCTATAAAACTCGGGAGCCCCGCTCCCACGTCGTTGCTGCGCGTCGCGGAGAAGATGACGACGTCACCTGGGGTGCATGCAATCGAAAATAATCGGGTTTAGGGTTTAGGGTTTAAGGTTTTAGGATTTAATTAGGGTTTAGGGTTACGGGTTTAGGGGTTTAGGGGTTGAGGCATACGATCCAAGAAGACTGGGCCATGAAGACCTAGAGGGTCCTCTGCGTGGAGCCCAAACCTCAGGACTGAGGCCCGCATACCCTAAACCCTAAACCCTAAACCTTCAGTTCACACCCAGCCTGGGTACCCTGATTTCGAAGTAATTATAAGGGAAAAAATCAGGGATCCTGACGCAAAAAGGCAGAGAGCCGCTTCGGCTGTAACTCCAAGGCACGCTCGTCGCCTTGGAGGGCGTCTACCGTGGCAACCTGCTGCAAGGAAGGCTTCGGCCGCTGAGGGGTGGGGAGAAGGGGGGGGGGGGGGGGGGAGGGTTGGCTGCTTAGGGTTTAAGGGTTTAGGGTTTAGGGTTTAGGGTTTAGGGCTTAGGGTTTAGGGCTTAGGGCTTAGGGTTTAGGGTTGCGCTTCGGGCTTGAGGGCTCAGAATGTTTGAGGGTGGCCTTTCGTAACACTCTCTCGGGGAATCGACTGGCTGAACCAGCGGTCAATGCCAACATCATCGACTCATGCCTCCCTTTTGTTGCTACCAACTGCTCATGCGTGATGTCCGCCCGCCGCCCACCCTGACCCGGACTCCAACCTGCAAGCCCTAAAAACCCTTCACCTCCCTGCACCACCCCCCTGCACTCAACACCCCCCCAACAAATATTAATATTAATAGTACAGAACAAACATCAAAAGCACCCCCAAAACCTTTGGCCTGCCCCCCCCAAAAAAGAAGAAACAACAAAGCGGATCATCGAAGCCTGCAACTTGGGATGCTGCACCCCAAGCTCAGCGAGGCGCCTCTTCGGCGTTTTTGCTTTTTTGCTTTTGGAGTTTCACGGGTTTGGGGTTTAGGATTTAGGGTTTACTGTTTAGGGTTTAGGGTTTAGGGTACTCTTTAACCTACTAGGCTCTTACTAAGGAATGAGGAGATTAGGTCAATGTGCGCGATATCCCCCTTCAGAGGCCCATTAGAAGGGACTCTTATACCTAATTCCAGCATTCCCACACTAAAGACCTGTAAGTAAAGTGGGGTGAGGGTTGGCTTGGGGGATTTAGGATTTCGGGCATTTAGGTTTAGGATTTAGGGCTTGGGAAGTAGGGTGTTAATTTCGAGGGTTTGGGGGGCTTGAGGGGGTTTTGAAGAAACCCGAAAGAACCCTCTGCCAACCTTCCGAATCCTAGAACCTTAGGGCCTAAACCCTAAACCCTATATACCCTAAACCTATATAACTCCCGAACCCTCAATCTTAAGGCCTAAGCCCTATAAGCCCTATAAGCCCTATAAACCCTATAAGCCCTATAAGCCCTATAAGCCCTAAAGCCCTCAAGCCGAAGCCGCAGTTTGCAGGTGCCGCGCTCAGGGGCTGAAAAGTGGGGAGAGGAGTGAGGGGGGGGGGGGGGGGGGGGGGGGGGCGGCTGAGTCTTCCTTAAAGTTCGGGCAGTTTCGGCTTGGGCTTGAGGTTTGGTGTTTGAGGTTTAGGGTTTGTTGTTCAGGGCGCAGTGTGGGGTTTGGGGGTAAGATAACCTACCACGTAGATAGGAAGTCTCATGAGCATAACTATACTTGATCCTGAAAGACTTCAGGGAAGCTGTACTGGGTTGTCTGGGGTATGGAGTGTCGCAAGTCTCGGGCAGTTCTCCTGACAATCTGATAGACACCACCCGAAAAAGATAACGCCCAGATCGTAAGCCCTAAAGTGATCCCCCTTATACTACCAGTACTTGATGGGGATTAGAATAGGGGTACAATAATTCCTATTAAGGACCGTTAGTATAAGGGTGAACAACCCGATGTAAGCCCTAAGCCCAAACAAGAGAGAAGTACAAATCCGACCCCTTCAAGCAAAGCCTTTCCATCGTCCCAACGTCCAGGAGAACGTTAGGTTGTAAAGGTTCCACCGGCTCTGGGTTTAAGCCGTATACGGATTATAGGGTTTAGGGTTTAGGGTTTCGGGTTTAGGGGGTTTTATGGATTACAGGGTTTGTGGGGTTCACAGGGCCTCTCCAGGAGGTTGCGCTGGGCTGCATAGGGCGCGATGACGGCCAAGGACTGGTCAAGGTGAGGGTTTAGGGTTTAGGGTTTGGGGTTTAGGGTTTAGTAAGTTTAGGGTTTTTAGGGTTTTGGGCTTAGGGTTTAGGGGCCTAGGGGTTTAGGGTTTTGGGGGGTTTTGGGGGTGTCGGGTTTTTCAGTGCTCTTTCCTGCTGGCCTCCAGGATATTGTGTGGCTTCGGGCTGGAATTAGAAGTAACATAACAAAACAGAAAAAACTCCAGGAGGTTGGACCCTCAACGCCTCCGACAAGCGCTCCTCCACGTAATTCTCTCAAGAAAGAATGAAATATAAGATGCAAGCAGGCCTACCTATAGTACTTCTTGATATTAATATCTATCCGAACCTATCGTTCTGCATCGCGCATGCAAGATGACTCTTGAGACAAAATATTGGCTGGACGGGAATGCCCTGCGCTCTGAAGCCTAACGACGTAGCGACCGTGAAAATCATGGCGCGCGCTCCTGTGCGCTCAACCTAAACCCTAAACCCTAAACCCTAAACCCTAAACCCTAAACCCTAAACACTAAACCCTAAACCAACATTAGGAGCCGAGGCAAATCTCTTAATCCCATTATGGGGGTTTCCGAAATTGGGGGTCCCTCTGTTATGGAAATCCTACTCTTGGCCGCCTATTATTTGGGGTCCCTTATTATCGCAAACCCCCGTATGTCTGTCCGCCTTAGCCAAGTCCGAAACCACAGGCCACAATGCAAGGAGATGAACACGTGTTTTGCTAACTTGGAAATTAAGGCCCCTGCCCAGAGAGTTCTAACGTAGACTCAGAGAACCCATACCCCACTTCTAGTAGGAAGCTCAATATCAATCAAGGAACACTCCTCAATAAAGGCTCCGCACCCTGAGGAGACACAGGCAGCCTCAACACTTTCGGTTCGGAGAAGTTCATCTACATGTCCGGCCACAACCTCCGCCTGCCAGGCGCCCGAGACAGAACTCAACAGGTACCGCAATCAGATAGGTTCATAGATACATGCAGCACCCTATACAACAAGTTAGAGGAAAGAAAGTTGCTCAAAGCCTCAACCCTTAACAACCAAACCTGAACCCCGGTTCCCAAACCCGACCCTTCGAAGTTTCATGACGTAGGGTCTAGATCCTATGCCCCAACCAAACATTGCTAAACACACACACACACAGGTTTGAAGATTAGGGCCAATTTTGGGTTCTAGGGGGCATCCTGCATGAAATCCGAGACCACAGATTTTGCCCCCCCCCCCCCCCCCCCCCCCCCAACCTAACCTAACCTAACCCTAAAACCCTAAACCCTAAACCCCCTAAACACTAAACCCTAAACCCTAAACCCTAAACCCAATTTTTTGTCTGCGCGGGCGAAGCCTAGGAGAAGAGAGCAGGGCTCCGTTTTTAGGGGCCCGGGGAGCCTTTGAAGCCCTAGGGAGCTCCTGACCACACAGCGGGCCAAGGAGGTCAAGAGGAGACCTTTAGGGTTTCGTTTGGGGTTTAGGGTTTAGGGTTTAGGGTTTAGGGTTTAGGGTTTAGGGTTTAGGGTTTAGGGTTTAGGGTTTAGGGTTTACGGTTTAGGGTTTAGGGCTTGGGGTTTAGGGTTTAGGGTTTAGGGTTTACGGTTTAGGGTTTAGGGTTTGGGGTTTAGGGTTTTGGCATGCGAACTCACCAAAATCCTGAGGCTGCCTAGAAGTACCCTAGAGCTTGATTCTCGCCTTCGGCCTCCCACAAACCGCAGCTTGCTAAAGACCTGGCTGGCTATTTCAGGGTTTAGGGTTCAAGCGGTTTGGGCCTTAAGTGAAACCGTAAACCGTAAACCCTAAACCCAAAACCCAAAACCCTAAACCCCTAAACCCCTAAACCCTGGAATGAAATAGCTAAACCGCCCCCTAGCAAAAAAAGGGGAGCTGCACTCAGCTCAGCGATCCCGGGAGTAGCGCACTCCGCTATCGCATCGTGGGCGTCTCCAAGGGCATGTTGGGGAGGATGTTCATCCCTGAGTTTGCTGTTTAGGGTTTCGGGGCTTTAAGGGCTTTACCCTGCACCCTAAACCCTACACCCTCAACCCTACACCCTACACCCTAAACCCTAAACCCTCCAGAGGTTTCGAGTTAGGGGCTTAAACCCGACTCTTCAGAGAGAGGGTTGAGGGCTGAGGCTCTCGGGCCATGATCTACCTGGGCACGAAGCGCCCAATTCCGCAACACGACCACCCTTAAATCCCAAGTACTCCTGGGTTCCCAGCAATTCGGTTTAGGGCTTAGGGTGTAGGGTTTAGGGCTTAGGGTATAGACTTGGTTGGGGTTGGACCCAAAGAAAGGCAAAAAAGCCACCAATGAAGAGGTGGGGGGGGGGTCCAAGACTTGAAGCCCTCATTCCTAGTTGCAAACACCACCCCAAACCCTAAACCCCAAATCCTAAACCCTAAACCCCTCGTGTGAGCTCCGGACTGAACATCACCATTCACATCCCCCAAGCATGTACAGGCTTCAAACAAGGATTACGACAAAGGAAGAGAGGGTGAGCAAACTTGGGATGTCCCCCCTGAAACTACTCGCTCCTCAATAGGGATTATAGGTACCGCCCCCCCCCCCCCCCCCCGATTGTAATCTCTATTCAAAATTTAGGAGCTGTTAGTATAAGGGGGAACATCCCAAGAACAAACCTAGACTTACAACGACATGCTATGGGCTTGCTTTCTGTGGAGGGTCCCGGTTGCCGTCCCTGAAATACGGAGCAGGAACCCTACCATAAAAAGCAGGGCACCTGAACCCTCAAAATCTGAACCCAAACAACCTAAGCCTAAACTTGGGATGTTCCCCCCCTTAATTACACGAACAGTCCTTAATCCTTAATGAGAATATAATGGGGGTACTAGGTTCCCCATTGAGGACTGCTAGAATAGGGGGGAACATCCTAAGCCTAAACCCTTGTAGGGCTTTGCGCCTTCAGCCTCTGCAGAACCCCTAAACCCTCAACTTGCCCTAAACCCTAAACCCTAAACCCGAAACCCTAAACCCTAAACCCTAAACCCTAAACCCTGCCAAGGCCGAGCTGCTGGGGAAGATGGGCAGGCCAGCGCGGGGCTGGGTCTTGTTGATGGCTGCGATCTCCTTCTCACGCTCCCCGAGAACGTAATAACCCAAGAACTTGGGGTTTAGGGTTTAGGGTTTAGGATTTAATGTTGCACTGTCTTTAGCATGCCCCCCCCCCCCCCCCACAAGTTTGGAACCTCCATAAACGCATGGCGCACCGACCCCCCCCAAACAATTTGGGGGGGGGGGGGGGGGGGGGGGGGGGGAACCGCCCTCAGGGCCTCAAGCCTTTAGCACCTCAAGGCCTGAAGCTTTGCAGCCTTCAAGATTCCTCGAGCCCAAGGCCCTCAGGGCCTCAAGCCTTACTGCGTAAGCCCTTAACCCAAAACACAAACGCTTAAACAACAAAAACAGTCCGGAAAAAATGTGATAGCAGGTACCCCAAACAACCTCGGTTCGCAGAATAAATTTCGGAAACTTGTGACCCTACACTAAAGTTTAGGGTTTAGGGGTTTGTTGTGCTTAGGTGAAAGTCCGAAACCGATGTTGACGGTTTGATATCATGTGTATAGATCTACACATTAGAGACATCGTAAGTGCAAGAACACGACAATCGAATTTACCTACCTATTGAACAGAGTTAGAATAAGCAAGAAACTCGCCAGAACCCACAAACTTTCCGTAGAACTTACTTTGCAAGGAACTTCCGAGCCCTCCAAGTTTAGGGTTTGGGTTTAGGGTTCAGGGTTTAGGGTCCGGCTCAGGCCTCAAGGATTTTGGCACTGGGCTTTCGGACGAAGCTGAGCCTCAGAGTGCTGGTGGAACTGTAAGGGGCTTATGGGCTTTAGGGTCTTGGGGGTAGAGGTTTGGGAGCTGAGGTTTCGGGACGGGGTTGCAGGATTTGGGCTGCTGCAGGGCTAAGGGTTTAGGGCTTTAGGGTTTGGGGGTTTAAGGTTTAGGGTATGGGGTTTAGGGTTTAGGGTTTCGGGTTTCAGGGTACTGCTGAACAGGAAAGGGTCGAGGATTTGAGGTTTTAGTGTTTGTTGGCTCGGGGCTTCGGGTTTCGGGTTCTTGGGGTATACAATCCTACTTCCAACCTACCCCTTCTCACATTACATGTTCAAGGAGCCTAGACCCCATCACTCAGCCAACAAACGAAAGACTTGACCAAACCCTACACCCTTCTGAACCTAAACCTAAACCCTAAACCTTGAACCCTAAACCCTAAACCCTAAACCCTAAACCCTAAACCCTAAACCCTAAACCCTAAACCCTAAACCCTAAACCCTAAACCCAATGTTGGGGAGTGTGCTTGGGGATTTGGGGGGTATCGTTGGCCCTCTGGGCGGCGAGTCGGTTTATTTTGTTGGGACTGTCTGGGGGATTCGAGGGTTATTCCCTGGGCTTAGGGTTTAAGGCTTAGGGGCACAGAAACGAAAACATTTGGCGAGGCGTGCCGACTTCAGCAAACTCAAGAAATACTTGTTTTTGCCACTGCCGTGCCACGACAACACACAGCAACAGCACAAATGAACATGGACCCCCCTAAATCCTGAACACCCAAACAGCAAGCAACATTGTGGGCAAGTGCTCCCCACACGCATCCTCTACAGTCTGCTTTCTTGTTGGCCTGTAGGGATTAGGGCATTAGGGTGTCAGACTGCTGCATTCTACTCCCTAGCTGGATCCCCGTTAAAGTACGGCCGCCGAAAAAACACGATGACTCAGCAAGCTATCACCAAAAGCCTCAACCCTAATCCCCAAGCCCTACAAGGCCAAGTAGCCACTGTGGCGTCTGCATCACCTCTATGGACGCCATCTTCCCCAACTCGCGACCGGCATTCGCCTGAGAGGGTTTATGGCTTGAGGGACAGATGTTCCCCCCTTATAGTAACAGTCCTTAATAGGGATTATAGTACCCCCTATTCTAATCCCTACTCAGGACTGTTCATATAAGGGGGAACATGCAAAGGGACAGTCATAACTTCATGCAACAAATAACACCAACACCTGCAGAGGTCTTGCCACGTAATCAGACACCCCAATTTGTAGTTCCTTTTCGGGTACCGAATTTTTGGTGGATGTGACAGAAATTTCTACGTTTTTTTGTACACAAAGAAAGGAACTACAATTGGGTGTCTACTGTAGGCTGATTCGGCATACAGGGCGTCGACCCCACTCGCCCGCATCGAGCCGATCCGTGCTACTGCCAGAATGTACAGTAACAGTCAAGCCTAGCCATGAGCAGCCACGGAAAGACACCAGACTTCCACCCGCAAGAACAGAAGGGTTCCATTTTTTGCTCAATGGGACTCAATGGGATGGGATTTAACAAGGAAACCGAACGAGCCTGAACAAACGATAACGAAGGCGCTACCGAGGACGTGCTTGGCAGCAGGGAAAGCGCTAGGTGCCAAAGACATCAAGGGCTGTCCCACTGACACCACTTTCTGACCACTAGCACTGTGAACATCAAAGACCCTATCCCTCTAACCTGAGCCACTCAACCGCTCAGGCCTACAACCCCCACAAAAACCCTCAACCCCAAAAACACAAACCCTCAACTCAAAACCCTAAACAGACCCTGTACCACCACTTAAGGACTGCTAGCTCAGGGGAACATCCCAACCTAAATTTCCAAAGAAACCCTAAACTCTAGCCCTAAACCGTCCTAAACCTTCAACCCTAAACCGTAAAGCAGTCCCCCTAGAGTTCCAAAGAAAACCTAAACCCTAAACCCTAAACCCTAAACCCTAAACCCTAAACCCTAAACCCTGAACCCTTAACCCTAAACCCCAAAACCTAAGCCCTAAACCCTAAAGTTCCAAAGAAACCTTGAGCTCCGGACATCGGTAGGGTAGTGCACGCCGCAGATGGCTCGCGCGTTCACGCCGCTGCTGCTCACGTAGCCCAGC